TTCAGGAATTACTACGATGCGTGATGAGTTTAAGCGTCCTAATAGAAAAAGCAAAAACAAGCTAAACGATGGTAGAAATAATGAGTTAAATGATGGTAGAGAACGTGATGCAATTACACCCAACATTTCAAATGACGGAGTTGGTTCTCAATCAACAAACACTGCGATGCGTAACCAGTCTAATAATAGACGTTCGAATAAAAAAAGATTTCCGAATAATGAAAATGATCAAAATGAAGATCAAGACCATATTGCAACTACACAGCTTGATTCTAATTTTTTAAGTCATGAGGACAACTTTCATTCTAGTGAAAGCTCGGCACTTGCTACGGGACGTGGTGAGTTTCAACGTCCGAATATGAGAAAGAACAATAAGCTAAATGATAATGGAAATAATAAGTTAAATGAAGAGAGGGAAAGTTTTGCAATTACATCATGTGAAACATCGGAAACTTATCCTAATAACGAAGATAGTTCTCAATCGACATATACTTTGGTGCATGATGGGTCTAATAATAAACGTTCAAAAAAAGGAAAAAAGCCTCCGAATAATGGAAATAATGATTTAAATGAAGATAGAGATCATATTGTAAATGAGCAATTAGATACCTATTCTAATACTTTAAATTATGAGGATGATTCCCATTTTACTGAAAATTCATTATCTTCTGATAACAATTTATCACCTTCTACGAGAGATATAGTATCAAATAGAATGAAAGATCTATTATCAAATAGAACAAATCAAATGAATCAAGTGGATCAAAGTTTTGATAATGAAAAGCCATCTGATTATTCTTCTAAATCTCAAAATACCCAACATTTTGAAAACAATTTTCATGATGAAAATGTAAAGTCGGGACAAGAAGATTATGGTCAGAATAGTAACAAGGTTTTGTCCTTACGAAAAAATGTTGCATTAAGTAAGACTTTAGTGGATTCGCCAAAAAATCAAAAAGACAAAATTCAACCAGAGAATGAAAATGAAAGTGATAATGTCACAGTACTTCAACACGATGATAATGAAAATTTTAACCCACAATTTAGCGAGACCGACGCTAATCAAGATGTTAATTTTGAAGAAAGCATGGATAGTATTGACAAAACTAAATTCTCTAAACAAAAAGGAAAAAAGAAGGTAGAACATGATGTTGTTGAGAGTGATTGCGACGATACCGATAAAGAGGATGAAGAAGATGAAGAGGAAGTCCACTCTTCTATCATAGATAACGATCAAAATAAACAAGATAATGAAAATCAAAAAAAATTTGTCTGATAAGTTTACTTCATCACAAAGCGAACAGTCTGTTCAGCAAAAAATTTTTGATATGGGCGTAGAGCATGAAGACTTGAAACATGATGACTCTATTCAAAGTAATATAAATGACACTGGGAAAAGTGTGCAGCAAGATTCTGTTCAAGATGGAAAGTCCACTTCGCAATCGAGTGGGATTACAACTATTGCTAAGCTTATTGAAAAGGTTCTTCCGAAAGAAAATGACGATGACGTTATAATTGTGTTTCATGTTCATATGCCAAAAATCAATGAGATTGGAACACCATGTAAGTTTTACATTATAATTTTTTTTTTTGTTTTTTTTTTTAAGATGTATATTTATTTTTTCTGATTTGATCATTTAGGTGTTGTTGGTAATATAACAGAATTAGGAGAGTGGGAGAAACTCACAATTAAACTCACTGAAAAAAAAATTTCTGGCCATCCTACTTCATGCTGGGAGTCGAAACCGGTTCGCATTCCACTTGCTCAATTTGAAAAAAAAGTTATTAAATACAAATATGCAATCAAGGAAAAGGGTAGAAAGAATAAGAATAAACCTTTGTTACGTGAAGGAGGCGATGATCGTATCCTTGAGGCAGGCGGAGGTGATAAATATGAGATCTGGGAAGAAAAGGGTAGTAGAGTCTCCTTCCCTCCTGAAATTAAGGATGTTTATTTAGTGAAAATCATTTATGACTCTGTGACTCTTGAGAACCTTAAAGAAAAGATTATGAAGTATGAAAAGATTATGAATCGTTATCCGAAATCAACGAAAGCTGCTACAACTATTGATTTTATCATGAATTCATTTCTTGAAGATAAATCCTTAGAAAAGAGACTTTTCTTATGCGTTCTTTTGGGTTATTATGTGAAAGAAAGAGATTCTCAATATTATTCATTACCTAGAGAATTCCAGTCATCTCTTGTTTTTGATACGTTACAAAATATTACTGCTGAAACATTCCCGTCTGACACTTATAAAATCTTGACACTAGCAATTCCACTTCTGGTTCGACACAACTGTATGGTTGTTTCACTCGATTGGCTTAAAATTTTTGGCGTAGCCAGTTTTATTGACCCGAAATATGAATTCATTGATTACATTTCAGATTTTTACTATAATGAGAAAATTATGCCTAATTTTTTTAAAAGTTTTAATGATTTGGTTACTCCAGTTATTTGTACAATTGAAGATAAAGAAATTTATGCAAAGATTATTAAGGTATCTTAAGATTATTTCTATTGTTGTTATTAATTGTTGCTAGTGATAAGTATGATTTATGATTCTATAACTTTGTTTTGATATAGTGGTTGTTTCGTCAATGCAGTACAATGAAGTTTTTTGTTACTGTGTGGCAAGACATTATCATTCATAGCGATGAGATAGATGAATTACTACAGCAGAGTTTAGTTGAACGTGTTCGATATATATTAAGCCGCAATGTTCTTTCGTGCATTCATCTTCATAATTGTTACAGTGATTTGCCTGAACAACTCAAAATCATGTTTATTGAAATATTTCGTGATCGATCTTTACATCTATTATCCGCTAAACAATATCAACAATGGGACAGGGATCATTTGGATGCAATTCTCAAACTTCTAATAAATGATCAAATTCAATGGCCTTTAGAGGATTATTTCAAAGTGCTAGATACTGTTTCCCAATGTGTGGATCTTGGACTCTTGACAAAATTTCATGAGTTGCTGAAATTTGGATTTAATACATTTAAGGAAATAGATGAATCGAAGCTTTCAATTTTATGCAAGCAATGGTATCGCAATTTATTAGATCGGGCATCAAATTTTTCCAACTTAGATACTAAAAATGATTATAGAGATAAATTTGCTTTTATGGCATTCAGTCATATTTCGAAGGTTTATCCTTACATTGGTAAAATTCCTGTTTGGCAGACTTTGCTTGAAATAGCAGTAAATCGTGTTAAGCACACTTCTGAAAATATTATTTTCAGCACTGTTGATAAAGTAGTGGAAAAATTAGAGGCGCCGCTTGTTGTAGAAGCATTTATTGCTATGGTGAAGGACAAATTAAATTCATCCATGTGCATTGCGGATAATCAGCTTATGGCAAAGATCAAACTGATTTGCAATTGTTCCACTGATGAATTGAAAGTACCTACAAGGTAAGAACAAAAATGCTAGCAACACTGGTCAAACGTTAAAAATCAACGTACAATAATACTTTGACTGGGTCAATTTGTTGCCGAAAAGGTATTTTAGTTGCACTAAATAGGCATTCAGTTGTTGAATACCTATCCGGCAGACATAATGCCATAAGATGTTGACAAATAAGCAATAGTTATATCCTGGATAGTTGGGTATAAGCGGAAATGAAAATTCAGCTTATACACATAGTACCCAGGGTATAACTGATTTATGCCCTGCGATCTTGATATAGTGACCAGGGTAATTATACATTGATTTTTCATTTGACCAGTGCAAATTGCAAGTTAGTGTAACTTATCAGTTATGCCATTATAGATCTAGCGAAGATATTTTGTGTCATATCATGACTCGATTACAATCTACTTTCGATTCCCAAACATTCTCAGAGAATTTTCACCTTTCTTTACTTAATTCTGGAAATTTTTGGATTCAAGTATTGAAAGCCACTGGAAGTGTTGATAAATTACACTCACATCCACAAATAAATGAAGTTCGAAATGCTATTTCTCATCTTACTGAAATTTTGAGTGAAGAATCTATTAGTATCTCCTTGCTTCAAGAGCTTTTAAATAAAGATGATAATTTTTTGCTTACATATTTTGGTTTCGCTATTATGAAGGAAGGCTTACCTTCTATAAACAAGGATATCCTGACAAACATTCGAGAAAAATATCGAATTTATGGACTAGGCCTTGACTACCTTAATTCTTTTTATACTGAATTTTGTCCTCAATCTATTGTCTTTGATGTTAAAGAGTATATTGATGACATTTATGAGATGCATCAACGCAAGAATACTACTACACTTAAAGATACATCTTTGAATGATTACTGGGGAATGCACACTGATATATTGTCTATTGCTGAAGATTTATATAAATATAGGAAATCTCAGACATTCAAGAATTGTTTGAGTTATCTAACAGAAGAAGAAGAAGAAGAAGATACGCGAAATGTTAAATGGATAGTTGAAATAATGCCAAAAATCCATGAAAGTTATCGTCGTTGGTGTATGACTTATTCGAAATGGGAAACAGAGAAATTTTCATATGCCAAAATTTTGTGGAACAAAGTTCCAGATATCACTGTCGAACTTGATTTGATGGATGGTATATTAAAACTTGAAAGAAATCCAAAATTAATGAGAACATTAACTGATATTTCTAAAGTTGCTCAATGGATCGA